GATGACAATGCGTCATCCCTTACATCTTTGTCAAAAAGAAAATTGTCGAATGAAGACTCATTGAAGGAAATTTTTCTATCAAGAGGATCATTAGAAAACCTTCTCGACTAAGAATCACCAAACATATGTATGACCACTATAACTGATTTATTATTAACTAGGTGGTAAGAATTTGAACTAGAAGACATTTCTTCCCTAACTAAAGGGGAATAATCATTACTCCCATAATCTCCAGACAAACTTATGTGGTGATCATTTATATTGGTCATGGTAAAGTAAATATAAATTTTATTAAACAATCTCAGAGAAAAAAGGGTACTTGAAAGGAGTAGAGTCTGGTGGGAATCGTGAAAGTTAAATGGAGAATGGAAATATTTTTTATGAGAAAGGGAAATGCTCAAGGAAATGCTCCAGAGAAGGGAAGAAATTATTCTCGCAAATAGAAACTGACTTTCAGGGATGACGAAAGTTCTCGCAAAAGTCGAGAGGTCTTTATATATAAAGGCGGGTGAGCAACGAACTAGGTTAATGGGTAACAAAATGTTACAAATCAACGACTAGATTTCACATAAGAAATACAGACGAACTCAAGTGCACTCAAATGCACTAGAGAAATGCCATGCCATAATCTACAAACAAAAAGCCATGTGTTTGAAAAAATCAGTGAGATGTTTCGATGATGACAGAGCATTTAATGTGCTTGTTCCCCATTACTTTTCTAAATGTCCTATGACCTTCCTACTTCTCGCTGTGGTTGGATGAGATCTCTAGGCCCGACCACGACTTTGAAATACTTTCTGGCTAGTATACACTCGGAAGCCTTGTGAGCAACTGTTATGTGTCAGTCAAAGGCCCAAGACAAATGCCAGTCATCCATATGCATAAGCCTAATCAAGGTGATTCAACATATATAGGCAACACATGCAAGATTCAATGTAGATTTTTTCTTATCTCTACTTTTCACTATACTTGAACTCTATAACTGACTTTGTCGTTGGAGTGTTAACTTTGCAGGTTTACCCTACACTATTATATGAAGATCAGCGTCACCAATTCTAGAGTCCTACGTCATCCATCAACACTAATTATTGTTACCATATGAAATATCTCTACATAGAAAAAGTTTATTAATATTTTTTTAAAATATAAAATAACAAAGAAACTACAAATGAGATATTTTTATAGGAGGGAAGGAGTAACTATCATCATAAATGTAAAGCTAAAGATGCCAACTTAATAACATAGTATAAATTAAAAGTGAAAATCAAATTTATTTTGAAAGCTGAAAATGATATTTATTATATCTTGAGACACATTTTTTTCTTGAGATGTGATGGTTATAATGATGGGTAGGAGTATAATTTAACTAATACAACAACCTGAAATCCTTCTTTAAGTAGCCTACTTCAGAGAGGCTAATCCATTGCCATTAACATTTCATGTTCTGCTTTTCTGCTCTAAGAGCAATAGCAAAAACCGCCGTAACAACTGTTGTTTATGTAAGTCAAGCTACCCTTAAATTCCTTAAATCTTAATCATATTCAAAAGGGTCAATTCTAGATTCCTAGTACAAAGTGAACAAATCCGTACATGTTTTTTTTGTCAGAGACAACTAGTTTCTTGGTCTATTTTCTTTCATACTCTAGTGCTCTTTTATTTGTTTATCTATAATAATAATAATATAAATACTAACCAATACTATATTTTAACTTGCTCATGTTACTTAGTTTATCAACTTTCACATGTTTATGGTTTTGTTATATGTTTAGGGTTGTGAATGGATGGTAATAATAAGCATCAAGGTGGTGAAGTAAGCTTGATGGAGAAGAAAAGAGAAGTGGTGGTGACAATTTCAAATGTGGCTGGAGAGAGCCATGGCCAAGATCATCATGATCATGGCTTGAAAGTGTTTGATTCTATGCCTCACTGTGAAAATGAGCTTCCTTCAAAGTCACCACCACCTTTGAACTATGTTTCCCCTGAGATAAGGTTCACACCAAGCCCAAATAAACCCCCAAGAGCTCCCACTACAAACCTTACCACAAGAAAATCTTTTGTAAGATCGGTGTATTCCAAGCCCAAATCAAGATTTGGTGAACAACCTTACCCTATTGATGGAAACCTTTTGGAGGAGAATTTTGTGTCTTCGAATTCGCAAGAACAATTAGCTGCTAGTTCACCTTATAGGAACTCATTCAATAAAGGATCATATTCACCTAGTAGGGAAGCTGGAATGGTTAATCGAACTGCTTCGTTTACTTCTGTCGTCACGCCTAGAACACCTTTGACGGCATCTCCTGATTCTTCTGATGATGAGGATCCTGATGAAACTATTTACAAGAAAGTTGAATTTAGTAAAGGCAATAGAAAGATACTAACGACTAAGGTTTCGATCGAGTTGTTCGTGTTTGTGAGCATTGCAGGTTGCTTATTGGTTAGCTTAGCAGTTGAGGGACTTAGAAGGACAGTGATTTGGAGATTAGGGCTTTGGAGGTGGTGTATGCTTGCGATGGTGACCTTTTGTGGCATGTTATTTACCAAATGGTTCATGCACATTGTTGTTTTCTTGATTGAAATGAACTTTTTGTTGAGGAAAAAGGTGCTTTATTTTGTCCATGGAATGAAAACATGTGTCCAGGTTTTCATTTGGATCAGTTTGGTTCTTCTCACATGGACGCTTCTTATCAATCACGGGGTCCAACGATCTAAATTGGCAGCAAAAATAATGAATGATGTAACATGGACTCTTGCTTCCCTTTTCATTGGAGCATTTTTGTGGGTTATAAAGACATTGTTGCTAAAGATTTTGGCGTCGAATTTCCATGTGAAATCTTTCTTTGATCGAATTCAAGAATCGATTTTCCATCAATATGTTCTGCAAACTCTCTCGGGGCCTCCACTTATGGAAGAGGGTGAGAAAATCGGTGGATGTCAAAGTTTTGGTCGTTTTAGTTTCACGAGTACAACTGGTAAAGATGGCACAAAGAAAGAGGTGATCGATATGGCAAAACTTCACAAGATGAAGCAAGATAAAGTTTCCGCATGGACAATGAAGATTTTGGTAGATGCAGTGATGAATTCAAGGCTGTCCACAATCTCTAATTCACTGGATGAAAGTTTTTATGATGTAAAAAATGAACAAACTGATAAAGAAATTACTAATGAGATGGAAGCAACTGCTGCTGCCTATTATGTTTTCAGGAACGTTGCTGCTTCCCCTTGTTGCAAGTAAGAATATAGTACGCATTCATTATTAGTTATAGAATTGTTTTCGTAGAGATCTGTTTGAATTAACTTATTTAAGTTTATCTACTAGCGAAAGATTATGCTACAAACGCTTAATTAAGTTGTTTAGCCAAACAAGGCCTAAATGTAATTTTCGTTCTCCTTGTTTTGCTATTTCCTACTGTTGTTGATGCTAAAAGTGATGGCGTTATGAATAGGGACATTGATGAGGATGAACTCCGTCGCTTCATGAACAAGGAAGAAGTTCTTTTGGTGTTTCCTCTCCTGGCTCATGCAGAGACAGGGCTAATTACCAGAAAATCTTTAGCAGATTGGGTGGTAAGATTTTATATGTTTATTAACATGTTTCGTCATCATAATGAAGGATTAAAATTCTGTTTGGACTATAATGTTTCAATTTTTCAGTTGAAGGTATATCAAGAACGCAGAGCACTCGCACACGCCTTAAGCGACACTAAAACAGCTGTTAAACAATTAAACAAGCTTGTGACAGCGTTCCTAGTCGTGGTGACCGTAGTAGTGTGGCTTCTTCTAATGGAGATTGCAACAACAAAAGTACTTGTATTCCTCTCATCGCAGCTAGTACTCGCGGCTTTCATGTTTGGAAACACGTGCAAGAATATATTTGAATCCATCATCTTCGTGTTTGTAATGCATCCATTTGACGTGGGCGATCGATGTGTTATAGATGGTGTCGAGGTAACTTATAACAGCCAAATTAAATTTTAATTGTTTTAAGATTCGCGTATTTATATTTATAACGCTTTCGGATTATCTGGCAGCTAATGGTTGAAGAAATGAATATATTGACAACAGTATTCTTGAAGCTTAACAATGAAAAAGTGTATTATCCAAATTCTGTCCTCGCCATGAAACCGATTAGCAATTACTACAGAAGCCCGAATATGTCTGATAGTGTAGAGTTTTCAGTTGATTTTACGACACCAGCAGAGAAAATTGGAGCACTGCATGAAAAAGTAAAGAGGTATTTGGAGAGGAATCCACAATACTGGCATCCATGTTTCAGCTTGTTTGTGAAGCAGATTAAAAATGTGAATAAGATTAAGATGGGTCTTTATGTTACTCACACAATGAATTTTCAAGACTTTGGGGAGAAATGCAAGAGGACAAGTGAACTAGTAATTGAAGTAAAGAAGATATTTGAAGAGCTCAATATCAGATACAACCTTCTTCATCAAGGTGTTCATATCAGACACATGGAACCTGATACAAGTTAATATCAAATGATGTTTCTTACTCATGTATGTGTTTCTTTTGGTTGTGTATAGTGAAAGTAAATGCCTTAATAGAGAATAATATCAAAAGTTTTGTACTATATGATTGCTAAATAGTGTATTCAAGACTCTGAGTCTTATGTATAAACCTTGAAGTGGAACCAATGTAAAATTTTGTCCTAAGGTTCAAAATTACTTCTGATGTTTCTTGTATGGAAAATTTTTTGTTCCTTTTTTTTTCTATGGGTTTATAAACTGTTCGATCTTGATCTAACGACCACCGATGTATCGGCGAATGTATAAGATTATGGCAAGTGTAACCTTATGAGATGATAGCCTTATCTTCCAATATCAGGTGGAGAATGTTCCACGTAGGATAACCAACATATGCCACTTCATCTGAAAATCTCCAATTTCCACCTATCATAATCTTTCTGTGTCAATTACCTTATCAGAATATCAAACCACAAAACTTTTCAGCAGAACATCACAAGCAAAACAAACAAACCAAAAAAAAAAATGGCTTCTGCTTCTGTTGCAACAGCTTTGCCACTGAGTTCTTCAACCCAAACCAAGCTGAAAAATCCATGCTCCCAATCCCTTTTCAGACCATTACCAGTACCACAACCAAAGAGAACCACACAGACAAAACCCAAGGTTGAGATCAATGCATCTTTGAAAGAGAAGGCTGTGACAGCTCTTACAGCTGCATCATTGACAGCTTCCATGGTTATACCTGATGTGGCTCATGCAGCTGGATCTGATCTCTCACCTTCTCTCCAGAACTTTCTGCTAAGCATTTTTGCTGGTGGGGCTGTCTTAACAGCTATACTTGGAGCTGTTATTGGTGTTTCCAACTTTGATCCTGTTAAGAGAGCTTAAAATAAGTGTTTCTTGAAAAGCTTTTGAGTTTTATGTGCTTTTGATTTTATTTCTGTCTTATTTTGTATCTAGTATTTTTGTGCAACTGGTTTTCTTATATGTTTGTTTACATAATAGTTAATCTCAGTTTCTCCTTATCTTACATTCTCTTTATTCTTCTTATTTCCAGTTTAATTGCATTTGAGTTTCAACTAGGTTATAGTAAATTTTTCTTCATTAAACTCTTAATGTGATAAGCTAGTTCAATCTGTATAGTATTAAATATAGAGTTAAGTTAGATTTTGTTTATATTCTGATTCTTCAAATATGACCTCTGAAAAAAGCTTTACATGTCCATGCCAGTGTCTATATTCAAAACCGACACCAATACTTGTGATTACGTTTAGTTTATACTTTTTTCAAATTATTACTGGTGCCGATGTATGAGGTATCATGTTTCTAGTGTCTGTGCTTCATAGATTCTGAGTAGAGGAATGGCTCAAAACTTAATTTACAACTGTTATGAGTTTATGTTCATTACTTTCACAAGCATTTGAGGCGAGCTTCCAAATGAACCTTAATCAAATTGATGAAACAATCCTGAAACTAGTGATTGAGATCACAATAAAGCTGAAATAAGCTATTCCAGACAACTTGAGTTCCTCAAAGAAGTCTGTGTCATTGTCACTGTGCTACTTTTGATTGAAATCTAAACTCAGTGCAATACTTGAGAAAGTATATACTGCGAGAATACATCTTCAACCTACTGATTGAAAATCAAAGACGATAAGCGACAAAATGTCCTGGAATGAATCTAGCATTTTCTTCAGTGTACGCACGAGTTTCATTCTGAAGCCTGAAACAAATATGATTTAAGTGAGAATGTTGATATCATAATCAGAGTTCTTCATTGAAATGTATAGTGCACAAAGGAAATGTTCTTACAATTGCGAAAGAGTCTTGTTCATGATGGCAGATGACTGAAACCAGTCACCTGTTAGATAGAGTTGTTTTCCATTTATTCTTTCTTCTATTCAAAGCATAATGTAAATCAATAAATACTTGTAAGAAACATATTTGTAAGAAACTTACGATGACAATAACTAAGTTTCAAGGACACGAGCAAATTTATTTAAATTTTCTTGTTCTGTTGATTGCCATGATGGCTCTCTATTGACAAGTGTGAAAGTGCTAAAATAATTGAGAAGTTGTTGGATTTATAAGAAAGATGACTCATACCCCAATTACCTTAGGGTTTGGGATGGATGTGTAGCGTCAAAGTTTTTTAGACCCCGAACATTTGGCCCCATTGATACTTCCAAACCTCGCCCTTCGGACTTCTCAAACAAGTGGCATCAGAGTCTAGTTAGCTCGGTGGGGGAGCGGAAGTGGATCCTAGTATGGATCAAGACCGGTGATGCGGGTGACTCACACTTGTGGGGAAATTGTTGGGTTTCAAGTGTGAAAGTGTTAAAGCCCCACATCGATTAGAAATTGAGGAAATATTGGATTTATAAGAGAGGTGACTCATACCCCTATAACCTTAATGTGTTTGGTAGATATGTGACGTCAAGGCCTCTTGAGACCATGAATGTTTGACTCATTAACACTTCCGGGCTCCGCTACTCGAACTTCTCCAACAAGTAGTATCATAGCCAACTTTGAATCCTAGTGTGGATCAAGACTATGATGTGGGTGACTCACATTTGCAAGGGAGATTGTTGACTTTCAAGTGTGAAAGTATTGAAGTCCCACATCAACTAGGAATGGAGGAATTGTTGGGTTTATAAAAGAGGTGACCCATACCCTCATTACCTTAAGGATTTGGTGGATATGTGGCGTCAAAGTCTCTTGGACTCCGAACATTTGCTCCATTAACATTTCTGGACCTCGCTCCTTGGACTTCTCAAACATATGGCATTAGAGTCTGGTTGGCTCGGTGGAGGAGCGAAAGTTAATCCTAGTGTGGATCAAGACCAGTTGATCATAGTCTGATTATTGAGTTTCAAGTATGAAAGTGTTAATCTCAAGTTCTCCTTATCTTATATTCTCTTTATTCTTCTTGTTGTTTTTGGATCGAACTCTAATGTCGACATTATATTCTCTTTATTCTTCTTTTTGTTTTTGGATCGAACTCTAATGTCGACAAGGATAGTTTCACGGTTCAACATGAGTTATGCATGCTGTAGTCGAAGTCTGTTCGATCATAATGTCGAAATATATTAACTTGTAATTTAAGTTAGTATGTTGAATTGAGCTTTGCTTCTAAGCTCAATTGTTAAGTTAGCTTGTATACTAAGTTATCTTAGTAGTCTATAAATAGACTAGTTCTCTCAGGTTGTTGAAAGAGGTTAATTGTTGCTATTCACTTGTAATCTTTGAACCCTTATTGAGAAAGTGAATGGTAAAACAATTTAAACCAATTCTTATTCTTCTTCTTCCTTTTTCTCTATCTTTTGTGAAACCTAATAGGGTTTCTTGTGTTTGCTCAAAAAACTCAATGTTTTTCTCATATTTTGGTTTTTTCTTGACGACATCAATTCACAACAAACTGGTGCGGTGGGCGTGGAGAAGGAGATGTCGTTAACAAAGTATGAGATTTAGAAATTCACTAGTGTGAATTATTTCAGTTTGTGGCATTTGAAGATGCAAGCCCTTCTTGTTCAAAAGGGTTTGTTAGAAGTGTTGAAAAGATCGAAAAAAATGGATGCTTCCCTAATAGAGAAGAAAAAGACAACGATGGTCAAAAAGCCCACAATGCTATTGTATTGAGCCTTGGTGATAAGATTATCCAATAGATTTCAAAGGAGAAAACTGCAACGGGTGTGTGGACGAAACTTGAAGGTTTGTACATGACAAAATCATTAGTTAATCGTCTCTACCTGAAGCAAGGTTTGTATTCATTCAAGATGAGTGAAGACAAAGTCTTGGCTGAGCAACTGGATATGTTTAACAAGTTAATTTTGATCTTGAAAATATTAAGGTCAAGATTAATGATGAAGATCAAGCATTGCTATTGTTGTGCTCTTTATCTAAGTCTCATGCTCACTTCAAATAAACTCTCTTGTATGAAAGAGAGTCGTTGACCTTTGATGATGTTCAATATGCCTTATACTCTAGAATTTGAATGAATGAAAAAAGCACAAGACATCTTCTATTGGTGAAGGTTTGTCTGTTAAGGGAAAATTCTTGAAGAAATATGGTAGGTTTGAAAAGAAGAAGGATAAAGATCTACAGAATTCTTATGGTGGTAATGCTCCTACTATTAAGTGTTATCATTGTAAGGAGGGTCATACTAGAAAAGTATGCCTTGGTCGATTGAACAATCGTGGTGAAAAGGATAATGGTAATGCAACCATTGTGGAAGATGGTTATGAATCATATAATGTCCTTGTGGTTTCAAGAAGTGACTCTAGCAAGGAGTGGATTATGGATTTAGGGTGTACTTGGCACATGACTCCAAGCAAAGACGTGTTTGAAGAATTGTGTGATCAAGATGGTGGATCAGTGTTGCTGGAAAATAAAAAAGCTTGCAAAATTGTAGGTATTGGATCTGTGAGATTCAAGCTCCATGATGAGACAATAAGGCTATTGAATGATGTTAGGTATGTACCTGATCTTAAGAGGAATTTGATTTCTCTTGGTGAATTCGACAATAAAGGATATGTTTTCAAAGGAGAGCAAATATTCTAAGGGTAGTGAAGGGGTCGAAGGAAGTCTTGAGAGGCGTGAAGAAACAAGACTTGTATGCCCTTGAGGTCGAGGTTGTATGTTGTTAAGCAGATGTGGCATCCACGAAACTTGTGTCAAAGACTGAGCTACGACACAAGAGACTTGGCCATGTCAGTGAAAGAGACATGGTCAAATTGTCAAAATAAAATTTTTTGGGTGGTGATAAGGTCAAAAAACTGGAGTTTTGTGACCTTGTGTATTTGGTAAATCCTGTAGAATGAATTTTAACAAAGGTAAACAAAGAACACATGGATCCTTTAATTACATTTATACTGATCTTTGGGGATCTGCAAGGAATCCTTCACACTCAAGTACAAAGTATTTTCTATCCATAGTTGATGATTACTCCAGAAAGTTATGGGTATTCATCCAGAAAACTAAGGATCAAACTTTTGAAAATTGTAAAAGTTGTAAGACTCTGGTAGAAAACCAAACTAGCAGGAAGGTCAAGAGGTTGGGGACCGACAATGGTCTTGAATTTTGCAATGAGGCTTTTTACAACTATTGTGTTGTGTATGGTATTGCAAGGCGCATAACTACTGCAATGACTTACCAACAAAATAGTTTGGATGAAAGGTATAATAGAACCATTCTGGAAAGGGTGAGGTGCATGTTGGTAAGTGAGGGATTGAAGAAGGTATTTTGGGAAGAAGATGTTGTGATTGCAACATACTTGATAAATAGTTGTCCCTCGACAGTCTTGGGAATGAAGACACCTAAAATTGTCTGGTTGGGACATTCACCTAGTCTCGACACACTTAAAGTATTTGGTTGTTTAGCCTATGCTCATATTAGGCAAGACAAAGTCGAACCTAAAGATCTGAGATGTATGTTCCTTGGATACTCAGAAGAAGTCAAAGCTTATAGGTTGTCGTTCCTAGAGCCAGGTCACAGGAGGTGTATCATAAGTCGAGATGTAGTTTTCAATGAAGTTGAGATAGCTTTCAAGAAAACTGATGACATTGGTCGAAGTTCGAAGATCTCTGAAGAAGAGTTGGAACAGAAAGAGATTCCTGTTGAGGTGGAGCATAGTGATGCTGAATTGCATAACCAAGATAAAGTCAAAGAAGAATCTCAAGTTATTGATGAAGATGAGGAGACTGATAATGACTATCTGATGACAAGAGACAATGTGATAAGAGTCATCAAGCCATCTCAGAGACTTGGTTATCCAAGGGAAGGGAAAAAGAACGAATAACCCATAAACATACAATGAAATGTAATAAATAGAATCTAAGGTTTGGGGGTTGGTTATACAAAGGGAAGGTATTGGCATCCTATGCATCTGT